CACATTGTGACAAGGAGGAGAGGCAACATTAGAAGGAAGAGAAACCTGTGCTTTGCTCAATAGGCGGAAGGGGGTGCCTGAATGAGTTTCTATAAACATAAATAATCCTTCCTTTTTTAAAAAATAAATAAAAATTCTATAATTAGGAGGTTCGTTGTATTTGAAATGCACAGTGGAAAACATGACTTTATGCACGTGTATATTTTTCTCACAATAGGGAACTCTCTCAGTGCTAATGTTGCAAGCTGACCTCAACATAAACAAGAAGTTAAAAACCAAGGGATTCCCTCTGGTGTTACTATGCAAAAAAAGTAATCAGAAGAGAAAGGGGTGTTCCACTTTCGTCAATGGGGAAAACATAATTGAAAATTATTATTTATTTTTTTTAAATTCGAATTTGCTTTGTCAGGATGTTAGACAGCTCCCAGGCTGTAAATTCCGCATTGACCTCAAGTTCCTTGTCTCTGGCATACTGATTTCCGCTCTGTGAACTATATACTTTGTTGAAGTGAACACTTAAAGGGACATTCTAGGCACCATAGCCACTCAATCTCTTTGAAGCATATTCAGGATTATTTAGTAAAGTGAGAATTGCTGGGAATTCAAAGTAGATTTCAAATGTTAGGCCAGAACAGCCAATTAGGAAACCTTATTTAATTATGTGTTCACTCTGAATTCCTTGAAATTCTTACATTAGTAAATAACCCAGTTTATGTTGATTATAGTCTTTGAGTATTTAAAACCGCTTTCAGTATATCACAACTGCCCATCACTTGTATGATTTAGCATGACTGTGCCCAGGGTCCTTCTTTTACTTTTAAACACTTTACGAATAAAAATTACAGGAATACTCCAAACACCACAACTGATACAACCCACTGTAGTTGGTATGGTGCCCTGATGTACTCCCTGTAAGTAGTCAAATCTTGTAAGAAAAGCTTGGGTGGGCACCCATAGCTGCAGCCTGCTTCCAAATTCTTCTGCAAATAGAATCCAGTTAGGTCCCCTTATCTGAATGCTGTCTGCCAGTGAGTCTCTGTATCGAACCATGCACAGCTGAGGGGAGGCATCCAGCTTCTCCCATAACTTTTAGGTGTTGGACTGCCAGGGCTATGATAAAAGGTCCAATCCACTTGGTCTTCTATATGCTGCCTCACATTATTTTCAATTAAATTTGCTTGCAATATCTTGTGTATAGGAGCGAATTGGTTACCAGTGATTGGTGAACCAGTGAAAAAAACGTGCAAATTGTGACACAGGTTTAGTATAATAAGTATAATAAGTGGAGGAAAAGAAAGTATTCACACACGACTTGGGGTATACAAGAAAATAAAAGCAACTCAATAAAGGAGGCCGATTATGACATGGAATTGTTGTGATACAATGAAAGTTATTTTTTTTTTTTTTTTTTATTGGAGACAGAGCAAACTGTACAGAGTAGGCAACACGATTGTGTGCAATTTGAGACCTGTATTGCTAAGCTGTGTGTAAGTCTGTAAGTGTGTCTGTTAGTGTGTGTGTCTGTTAGTGTGTGTGTCTGTTAGTGTGTGTGTCTGTTAGAGTGTCTGTGTGTGTGTGTGTGTATTTAGAAGGCGGGGTCTTCTCAAAACAGTCTACTAATTTTGTACTTTCTACGTTGCATGACCTTTGTCTTTACTAACTCGTTATAAAAAAAAAATCTAATGAATGCACCCATTTCTAGAACACATGAGAAGAGATGAAAATTTATGCTCATTTATACTGATATCAGTTACACGTATACTGGCAAGGTCCAGTTCACATTCACCCACAGACATCTCAACTCATAAGTCACACACAAACATGCATCAAGCATCATTTTCTCTCACATACACTAACACAACAATAAATGCACTTGTATATATGTCCATTTATTAGCCAAGTTACTTGCCTCCAAAAATACATGGTTTGTACATTGTCAAATTTTAAACCATGCAGGATGATTTAATGTGGACTGAAGGTGAATGAGTGTATGAAATAATGAAAGTATTGAAGAGACCGAAGGTGTGTACGCCATCTTAATAAAGCATGTGTAGCTTGTATCTAAAGGGGGTGCATTCAAGTAAATCTGCATATTATCAGGCCACTGACTGCTAAACCAGGCATTATTAATACATGAAACATGTATGTATTGTTGTGAGGTCAGGAAAGCGCTCCATTTAGCAAGGGTCTACCAGCCATACTATTAATATATACCCAATTATCACCGCTAATGGGCAGTGAGCCTGCAAAATCCCAAAGAGAAAATGATGCAATTAGAAACCAAATACGTTTCCACATCGTATGTTAGCAATGAGGGTAAAACTGTATTACAAGTGTGGATCTATAATGTACAGGTAGCAAAGATTTATCAATTCATACTTTAGAGTATCTACTTCTAAGTAACCCCTAAGTGTCCTGACCCTGCAGACTCAGTCTGGCTCAGTATAAGACTCTAAGTATTCATATCCCTGGGTCCACAAAATGAACCCCTTAAAGATCCTATCTCCACAACCTCAAAACATGACTAGATGTAAAGGTCTATCTCTCTGTGAGCTCTCGATAACGACATCCCTTACAGGACAAAAATAAATCAAGTGAACTGTTAAAAAAACAAACTAGTAACCTTGTAAGAGGACTTCATCAGGACGCACTATCATAGTCTTGGCACGGTCTCTCCAATACTTTCATTATTTCATCACTTATTAAACAATTTTTTATATATATATATATATATATAATACTGTTTGTACTTAGGATTCCGTTGTACTTGTTTTGTGATCTATGTTCATGTATGCAATATCATAGCTTTATAACTCCGTTAAGGGTATTTCTTTTTACAAGTTTGAATATTTATGTGCAATAAAGCGTTCTCCTTTTATCTTTGTTACTCTCCTTGAAAGTGTTGTGTTGAAGTACAGACTCTGAAGCATTCTATTTATTTTCTTTATTACCATAAGGTGTGAATATTTAATATTTTAGTCATACACACACACACACACACGTTTATTATATGATAAAGCCGCCTTTTCCTTCAGTAATTGATTTATTTATAACTGATCTAGTTTGTACTAGTTTGGCCATCTATTTGTGACCTTTTTTGTTCCATTCTTCTTGACAGACTTGTTTCTGGTTGAGTGTATATCACTCCTGCATACATCTCCGCTATGCCAGATGTAACTGAACCATCCCAGTTTTAGGTTATCTACTCCTATTTTAATCAGTTTATCTTTCTTCTTTATCTTTTTAGTTTGCTTTGGGGCTAAAGAAAGCTACACAACAAGAATTCTCAACTTCAAATATCAAGAAGATCCGCGATAAAAGAATAAGAGTATTGAAATTTAAGAGAACGCATTGACTTTTTCAACATAGCATAAAATGGACCAACACAGACATTTATTTAGTATGATGTCCGTAGAAACAAAACCACTGTCAATTCACCACCTCTTTAACATATTCAAAGGATGACTGTGTTTTCTATTGAAACATAAAATGTTATTTATTTGCAGTGCTTAAATTGATTTTGTTTAAATAACATTTTTTATATAAATGTTTAACTTACATATGTTTATCCTATCCTGAAATGTCATTTATCTTGAATGTATGGTCTGTTTAAAACAGGAAACAAAACAAATATAATTGTTTGTTCATTCTTACAGTTGTGCAATATCTTTGGGTGTATCTGAGGTCTAAACATTTAGCCTTTTAGCATAACCGTTTAAGAAAATTTTTAAAATTGAATCCTTAGATGTAAGATTGAAATACACGTGAATGAACACCATCCATCAGAATGGAATCTTATACTAAAGCATCATTAAGGTATATTGTAGAATAAGGGCTCAAAACTTCCACTTGCCATCAGCCATGGGTTAATGAAAATTAAGACCTGGTGAGTGTGACATGAACTTCCCAGGTTTGCAGAGGCAAGTAACTTTTAACCCTTTAAGGACGACAGGCGTACTATGCCTTCCTTGAAGGGGTGGACTTAAACGCCGGAGGGCAGTATAGTACGCCCAGTCGTCCTCCCTCCGTCCTGGTGCCCTACACTTACATGGTCCGGCGATCACGGTTGGGGGGGTTTCCCTAGAGCCCAGCAGTCCCCCTGCAGGAACTCCGGCTCTCCAGGGCCATGTGATCACCATGATCACATGGCCGCAATAGGAGTGTGTGGAGCTGCCTGCAGGGGCACTGTCTGAGCTGTCAGGCAGTCCCCCAGTCTCCTGAAATGTAAAAAACTAATTAAATATATTATATATATATATTAATAATTGAAGCATTTTATAATATATTATACATATACAATGTATATATATATGATTTCATTATAAGTGTACTTTGTGATCTACTGAGTGTAATATTAGGGTGAGACTATTCCTTTATAATAATCCTACCAAAATCACCATCAAATGTCCCACTGTAGTTTCAATTTCGATTGTTTGTCAAGTTCAGTTCCACGTGGTCACAGTAATCAAAAATCTAGTTTTCTTCAGGTAAAGGATGAGTATACGGAACTGCGACACATCATTTGTCTTGAAAATATTAAGAATTGTCCTTTTACTGCAATTTCATTTTTTTCACTTTAGTAAAATATGGTCAGAAACAAAAGGAAATACAATGGGAATTGCCATGCACCATCATATGCAAATTTACATCTTGATTCATGAGAAAATAATACTGTATTCTCCTTTAACCCCTTCCCGACATGATCTGTATGGGGTACGTAAGTCCCTAATATTGCTGCACTCACTGTAATAATGAGCTGCCTGACCTACATTACAAGATGTGCACCACTTTTTAGACTGTCTCGCTCTTTAGGCTGCCCAGTAACCCAAACAAGGGGCTGTCACAATGGTCCTGTGCAATGATTGATAGTTGATCCCTTGTTCCCGCAGTGCATCCTGGGACTGGCTGTAAATGTTCTACTTATTGTGAGGCTGTCTAGCAGTAGTCCCTGATTGGATCCCAGGCTGATTAATCACCCTGGGAGCCAATCACAGAAATGAACTGCCTTATCAATTGCACCTTAAACCTGGCAAAGAAATATAAGTGAGGTATTGCTGTACTTGGCTGTAGCTGAATACAAATTAGGGATCTTTGCTTTAGTGGGACATGGTGTGGGGAATTAAAGGAACACTATAGGGTCAGGAATATATAAATGTGTAATCCTGACCCTATAGTGTTAAAACCACTACTTAGGTCCATTGCCACCCTTAAATAAGTTAAACATTTACCTTTAATCCAGCAACACGTGGGTCTGCGGGTGCCTCCACTGATGTGCCTTGGCTGACATAATCAGAATTGACCATTTCAGCCAATCCAATAAGAAAGCATTGGTTTGGCTTAGCTATTCAATTCTTATGATCTCAGTTAGGGTGCGGAACCAAATGCCCTGCTGGCCAATCATCATCTCCTCATAGAGATGCATTTTGCAGGGCTGCACCTCTTCTTTGGAACTCCCTTCCCTTTTCTATAAGAATTTCACTCAGTCTCCACTCATTCAAAAAAATCATTGAAAACTCACTTCTTCAAGAAAACATATCAATTAAACTGTTAGCAGGTTTTTATCCCCCACTCTCCATGACTCCTCTCCTGCAACTGTCAAAAATTACCTACTCAGCCCTCAGTAAATACTTTTCTAACAACCTACTTCGTACCCCTACTTTTACCCTTTGTGCCATTATACCCCACTCCCTCTAGCATGTAAGTTCATTAAGCTGCACTTCTCTGTTCCTGTACGTTCAGTTGTCTGGTTACAATTACATGTCTGTTAGTCCACTCATTGTACAGCGCTACAGAATCGGATGGCCCTATATAAAAATTTAATCAATGCATCGCTAGGTGGAAAGTTTAGCATCTCAATGCAGAGTGTGGATACCCTAAACGCGTGCAACACAGACCTATGAAGCACTTTTAGTGGCCGTCTGAGTGACTGCCACTGGAGGTGTCCCTAGACAGCAATGTAAACACTAACTTTTCTCTGAAGCTGTAGTTGTTGTTGTGATTATAGTGTCCCTTTAACCATGAAAATGACACGATTTAGATAATTAACGGGACACTATAGTCACCAGAACAACTACAGCTTTAGAGAAAAGGCAGTGTTTACATTGCCCCTAGGGACACCTCCAAGTGACCACTCCTTAGATGGCTAGTGGAGGGGCTTCCTGGCTCTGTGCTGCATAGTAAGCAGCCGTGCCGTTCAGCGTCCCCATGCTCTGCATGGAGACGCTGACTTTTCCTCATAGAGATGCATTGATTCACCGCATCTCTATAAAGAGTTCCTAATTGGCCAAAATGGCATTTGGCCAATCCAATGCTTTCCCTGTGGGCATTTTGATGTCACAAAGGGGGCGGAGCCAGTGCCAGCAGACCCGCGTGGCCCTGGAAATAAGATGAGTTTTAAACTTTTATAGGGGGGCTAATCAGGGGGCAAGCCACCTAAATGGTGGGTTTAGCACTATAGGGTCAGGAATACATGTTTGTGTTCCTGACTCTATAGTGCTCCTTTAAATACACACAGTATATATGCACCATATTTATCCCATAGCTAAATTATTGGAAACCCTAGACATATGAGGCATATTCACAATTGGGACTAAGTGAATCTATTTTGAGGTACTTTAATTGCATAGACATATGTTTTTGGGGGGATGTGAAAAAAAACTACTTTTCTTACTCTTTAATATTTTGTTCATAACTAGTATTGTATTAAGTAAACATATATGGTATTGAAAAATGTGTACATTATGTACACTTACAGGGAGTGTGTTAAATTACGGTGGAAAAAAAATTATGATGGATTTGATTTCAAGTCGCTTTTAAATCACTAGTCCATAATACTCTATTTAAATTGTGATTTTTAAATGTGAAGACTCATTCTTGCTGGTTGTTATCTTAAGTTAATCTTAGCTTGCTTCATTTGCAGCCAGATTTCAAAATGTCATTGACTTTTCAGATTAGTTCAACGGTTATTTTTTTATTACTATATAATTTTACTACTCTATAATAAAGAAACCTTTTTGGCATATAATATTTTATTGCCATTTTTCTTTCTTTCCACCTGACTACTTATATTGCCAATTTTAGAAGAAGCATAAAGAATCCATAGGTGGGGATTATACCACCCGGGCGCTTATATTGAGCAGTACAAACCTGCTCAAAAGAATGTGAGTAATATATATATTTTATACTCTTTTAAACTTTTCACCATAATACAGAGAGCACTATATATTTTATTCTTTTTCTCTGGGTCTAATAACATCAATTGGGACGTCGAACGTGTGTCAGAGAATTACCAACTGAAGTCTACTCTGTATGTCCTTGAGTGGGGACTATTCCACTTCGTGCGCGCAATATCAGAGCTGGATTTTTCAGCTCTGAAAAGTGTGAGTAAGACCTATTTCACTATTTTATTTTCTACGCATCTATATACTGTGCCATTGGAGTTCTGTCTTCTCTTTTCTTCACATATGCTTCACTGAATTCCAAGCATACGGTTATGAAGACTTGATCTCACTCCACATCTCAAGAATTTCCTTTTACACACGTGGGACCTACCATCACGAACTGTGATAAGTTTTGGACTATTGTCTATTTTATATATATTATTTAAATTTGTTTTATTATTTATTATTTGATTGTATTTTATATATCTTAGTATATATTTTAGGCGCACCCTTATTGTGCTGTCTGCTTTGTAGTTCAACGGTTATACCTGAACAGATTTTGTTGTATATACCATAGAAATATGTAGATAAGGATGACATTATTGCAAGGTGAACGATCTCCAGTTTACCAAGTTAATCACTCATATTTGAAGAACAACTTAAATAGTTTTATTTAACTAAACCAATAATGTTATACAACTTACATTTTCTTGCAATTGCTTAAACATCAATATTTGTTAACTAAGCGTTTAAACAAAACATCATTTAAAAAAAAACTTAAATTGCAATAGTTTGCCCTCTTACTGGGTGTATGATGGCTGCCTAGCCTCCTTAGATGCTGTATGATGCACATCTGACTCTTAGACTTTGAATGACCATCTGTAAAGAATTTGCACAGAATTGACTTTAGCCAGTCTGGAATTCTTGTTCAGACCTGTCTAAGTACTAATGATAGTTGGACCTCTGACAGCAATATAAAATATCTCTGTTTGTGCATATTGAAAAGCTGCATATGTAGAGTCCCACCACCATGGCCACTTCAAAGAGTGGTTGTGATGTTTGGAGTAACCCTTTATGGTCAGGTGTTAATTATGTCTGTATATTTACAGAATAACAAATGGGAATAGCGTATTTTCCTGAACTTAATTTTGAAACATTTTTGTAAATCTTGCATGAATATACAGCCTCATGCTACAGAACGAATCCATATTTCATGCTGAATAAGCTTTGGACTATATCGTACCTTAAAGGGAAACTATAGTCACTGTAACGGACCGTTTTGCCCAAAAGGGGTTAAAAACCGTTTAGGCAATATTCCCCTTTTTCAACTGCACAAACAGCTACTGCAAGCACCAATCTCCTGAACTGCTAAACCCACAAATTCACCAACTCCCGAACTGCAACCAAGGGAATACTCGAAACTCCCGAACTGGAGACACACGAATAGCTGCTAGCAGACGAACAGGAAAAGCCCCCAAGCGGCTTACACTCCTGGCAATCAGTCTCTAACAGCATACAATAAATCCTCCCCCAATAATGAGACGACACTTCACTTTGAGGGCTAAGCAGGAACTCATTTACTGGGGCTAACTGCCCGGCTTTTATGCAGGTCTCCCACCTGGTGGACACTCCCCTAGGTGACCAAATGGGAGACTGGGACACAAAGGGGTAAAAGGACCAATCACAGACTTACACATTTCAACCATCCCACAATGCATCACAATCCCTCCTCTCTGCTCTGGAGATAATTGAGAAGTAATTCAATTATCTCCAAAGACAGAGGCAAAACTCCATTAACCACATGGCAGAAAACAAACAGTAAAAGACATAAAATTACCTACAGTTACATTCAGTACATAAAACATATACGTTCTACATATCCCCAGATAGCTCAGGTCTGAGCGCACATTATTAAGCGAATGGCGCTCAGACCACACGAATACAGTTTAATCGCCATGGAGCCAAAGTCTTTACACAGTCAGTTTCATGCGAATGGGCTCCATGGGATTCCTATCTGGGGCACAACACACTCAAACAAATCTACCGAACACCCGGCAGAAAAGCACGAATAAGTCTTTTCTGCAGGGAAAAAAAAGATGTCTTTTAACATGGGGCCATAGTCCAAAGGCAGCATGCGAGCAACCAGGCTTCTCCAGTGTACAGTGGCGAGGTTGGTTTCGCCACAGTCACCAAAACAACTTTAGCTTAATGAATCAGTTTTGGTGTATAGATCATGCTGTCTCACTGCTCAATTCTCTGCCATTTAGGAGTTAAATCACTTTTCTTTCTGTTTATGCAGCCCTAGCCATGGCTCACCTAGCTGTGACTGACACAGCTGACATGAAAAAGAAATGGTTTCATTTTTAATCGGATGTTAACTTACTTTAAAAGTTTTTATCTCCTGCTTTTTAAATTTGACTTTAATCACACACAGAAGTCTCGTGCAGGGTCTAGCAAGCTATTAACAGAGTAGTAGATAAGAACTTTTACATTAAACAGAATATTCAAGAATGGAAATGTAAACATTAGATGACTCTTTATAGGAAGTATTTAGGAAGGCTGTGCAAGTCACATGCAGGGAGGTGTGGCTAGGACTGCATGGACAAAGTGTTTTAACTCCTAAATGGCAAAGAATTTAGCAGTGTGACTGCAGGGGCATGATCTATACTTAAAAACTGCTTCATTAAGCTAAAATTGTTTTGTGACCATAGTGTCCCTTTAAATAGAAATCTGTATTTACATAGGGTTTTCCTGTATTTTGTTAACAACCTGATTTGACTCCTTAAGGACCAAACTTCTGGAATAAAAGGGAATCATGACATGTCACACATGTCATGTGTCCTTATGGGGTTAAATACAAAATAATCAGATTTTTCTTTTTTTATTTACATTATTAAAGATTTGTCTTCCCACCCTGGAGGAAATCAATACAAAAATGCCTCTTTGACGAAATGACACAGGTCATGAGCCGGTAAAATAGAATTTTTAAACAATAAACATCTATTTTGGTGTCTATTTATTTGTGATTTCTGCTCTGGGTGGAGAATGAACCAAACTGGCAGCAACATAATTAAAGGGACACTCCAGGCACCCAGACCACTTCTGCCCATTGGAGTGGTCTGGGTGCCAACTCCCACTACCCTTAACCCTGCAAGTGTAATTATTGCAGTTTTTCATAAACTGCAATAATTACCTTGCAGGGTTAACTCCAACTCTAGTGGCTCTCTACTAGATAGCCACTAGAGGGCACTTCCTGCTCTATAGCACAGAAAACCCACCGGCCGACGTAATGCAGAGGAGGAGCGGCGGCGGAGGAAGAAGCAGCGACGTGGGACATGTCGCTGCCTCTGGTAAGTGACTGAAGGGGTATTCACCCCTTCAGCAAACTGGGATTCTGAGGTGGGAGGGAGAGGGGACCTGCAGTGCCAGGAAAACGGATTGTTTTTCTGGCACTGGAGTTTCCTTTAATTTCTTTGTGTTTTTTGTTTTGTTATTTTATATTTCTTTTAGGACTGGATAGTTAATGTAGAACATATAATGATTGTATCATTGTCGTATACTTCTTGAAGGAGGCAGGAGGGGAGCTATTGTGTATCAATTCCATGAAACTTAAACTGCCAACTTTGCTCTTTCTACAGGGGGTGATATTAAAACTTTTGTAGGACTTTAAGAAATGTTTATGGAGGAAAAACAGGTCCTTATTTTGGAGTCTGCTTGGATTTTCAAACTGGTGGCACCCCACTGCGTGATGCCAGCTGTAGAGTCATGTTTTCTAGTAATTGATATGTCTGTACAGCTGGAACTGCAGCTTTAGAATGTTTCTGTGAATTAGTCTATAACGGCAATGTGTTCCTCGCTATCTTTCTCATTCAATAACAAAGTTTTTCATTTTTCAAGATCTCCCTTACCAGTCACTACAGTGATGGAGGTTATGTTTATTAGCGATGGTGGTCCTTCACAACCATGCTCCTGCACAATTTAATCAACCTGCACTTTCCTTCCAGGAGGACTACAGTGAGAATTGTTGGGAATCCAAATGCATGACCAAGCTAGCCAACCTCGAAGCATTCTCCAAGTCAATTATGCTTCCAGGTTAACTTTGTTTGCCTTAAATTTGATTCTCATTCTACTGAATAACCCAGTAGTTGTGATAGATGCCCCTCAAACTGACCCTGCTGCGCTATCAGGGTAATTGAACACTGTATCCCATAATGCAAATAATACTTTGCTTCCAAGCCGTGGTAAGAGGTCCTTCGCAATTCGTTCTCTGCACCCTGTTTACTGCAACTTGTTACTACCTGAGCCATAACTCATATGTTGGCAATGGCTTTTGTTTAATGAGATTTTAGATGTGCGTACGTCGCTTACTTGGCCAATGCTGTTTTTATTTTTCCCACAACAAATATACCCTATTTATCTGAATAGCAATGCTTGTATTAATGAGTGTGACTGAATAATTCAAATCACAGAAAAAAAACTAAAATAATAATACATCTGGTGTTTGTTTCCCTCTTCAACCATTAATTCATTGGCCTATCTTTCTGTTCTTAGATCCTTATGCTTCCTTTCTTCACTGACCTGATCCTTGATTTTTAGACATAACTAATATTTTTAACATTGGCCTTGCCATTGTTAATACAAGTCAACTGATGCCTTTATATACAATTTTCTCATGCATTTGGATTGTAAACTTATGTTACAGAATTCATGATGTTATCTCTGTAATCAAATACTGTTATTATTTATTAACAAGAGCATCCCACTGACAATGTCAATACACTTTAAATAAAAAAAAAAGGTTATCAGTAAAATATAGAAAAATCTGCAGTTCTAAAGCCCAATAGAGTGTTAGGAAGTTCCAAATGTTAAATAAGTAAATGTAGATTTATATAAAAGACACAAAGTTTTTTCTTTTAAATAAAATGATTTATGAAATAGAATATAATAAATAGCACACTCAAACAAAATGTTTACTTACTAGAGCATTATAAAATTGTAATTTAGATTTCACATTCAGATAAATAACCGTTACAAAATCCACATTATAAAAGATCTTCAAATTACAATCCAGAAAAACACAATTCTGCATAAATTAACCATAATATTACTTACTTTGTTTTCATTGAAAACACAATATTCAACACTATTTGTTGTAGATAGTTTAAATTAACCAGACTAGAATTTTTATCCTTAATTTACCTTAAAGGACCACCATAGGCACCCAGACCACTTCAGCTTAAAGAAGTGGTCTGGGTGCCAGGTCCAGCTAGGTTTAACCCTTTTTTCTATAAGCATAGCAGTTTCAAAGAAACTTCTGTTTATATTAGGGTTAATCCAGCCTCCAGTGGCTGTCTCATTGACAGCCACTAGAGGCGCTTGCATGCTTCTCACTGTGAAAATCACAGTGAGAAGACGCCAGCTTCCATAGGAAAGCATTGTGAATGCTTTCCTATGAGACTGACTGAATGCGCACGCAGCTCTTGCCGCGCATGCGCATTCAGCCGAGGAGAGGAGGAGGAGAGCTCCCCGCCCGGCGCTGGAGAAAGAGGTAAGTTTAACCCCTTCCACCCCCTAGAGCCCAGCAGGAGGGGGACCCTGAGGGTGGGGGCACCCTCAGGGCACTATAGTGCCAGGAAAACGAGTATGTTTTCCTGGCACTATAGTGGTCCTTTAATGTGCAATCAGTGCTGTCAGTATTCCTTTTGACCTTAATTCTATCTTAAACTAACATATGGAAGAAAAATAAGTCTCCTACACTTTGAATTCAATGTAGAGACAAATCTGAATGCTTCACTTTATGAAGCAAACAAGATCTATAGAAAAACATTAATTAATAACCCCCTCCAAAAAATGAAAAAATGTCTATGTTAAATAAACAATTGACTATAAAAAATAAATAAATTGTAGTGAGTGGACAGTCACTAAATATTGATTTTATTCCTGATCAAGTGAGAAGTGAGCAAAAAGGAGAAGCAGTAACAAAAATCTGTATATATTTTTAATAAATAGAAAATATATATTTTAAATAAATAGATAATATATAAATACAGATTCTTTTTACAGCTACTCCTGTTTTCCCCTCTTTTGGTAACTTTTTCTTACTGAATCTGTGCAACAAATGGTGGGAAAATGCTCCAATCAATGTACTGCAAAATATTTAGCAATATACCGATTGGCCAGTATCGCACCCTTTATTGTTCTTCCAATTTGTTTCTGAATAGAAATCTCGGTTCAAAATTTTACCGAGCCGAAGTAACATTCAGCCATTCTAATTTCTATTTTTGCAAAAAAATGGTTCAGCCGAGACAAATGTTCTCACTGTGCACAAGTTTACAGTTTTGTAATACATAATTTACTACATAAATAAATATTTTAGTATAACACTTAATAAGTTAAAGGCAAAATAAAAAGTAAATAAATTATCATAATCTAATAGAAACATATAAATAAAAAATATGTATATGACCTCTATATGTATTCTGTATACATTTATACAGGTGCAAATATACATTTATGTATCTTCAAGGCAACCTGCTAATATAAAAAAATAAATAGCTCAGATCGAATAGCTTTCTGTTAACATATAACAACAATGAATGTATTACGGAAGTGCTCTCTAAGTTAATAATTTGCTAAGTTTTATTTTCCTGCCATATAAATTTCTCTGCTAGTAATATTTGAGGTAGAGGAGTAACTTCTTCTTGTGTGTTTACGAAAGCATATTGTAAGGGCTAACGTTCCTATTTGCCAGTATTCAAAGAAATTGATCAAAAACTAAAATTAAGACTCAAAGGGGAACTGTCATTTTAGAAGTAAAAGCAACTTCTAATAGCTGTATTAGTGTATTTTTTTTATATTTTTTTGTTTGTTTCAAGTAACATCTCTAAGAAATGCAAAGCTGTTCTGGCATAGCCTGGCATCTGATGTAAATGCTAAGTATCCCATGATGCTCTGCATATCCAGTCAAATTGCATAGATGCTAGGAATCATGGGAAATATGCCGAGGTATGTGCATGTCAACTCAGGAACATGACAGCACCTACACCCACACACTGTATTTAACACACTTATCGCATGGATGTTTACTGAGAAATGTTCTTTAAATATTTGTGACAGTTTCTCTTTACATTTGTGGTTTCATGATGGATTGGAAAGATTAAATTGACTAATTAGCTTTTATGAACCATGAAAACACAAATTCTTTTGATATAGTTTAGGCCAGGGGTGCCCAAAACTTAGAACCCCAGATGTTGTAAAACTACAGCACCCATGATGCTTTGCAGGTCTTTGGAATGTGTTAGAATGACAAGGCATCATGGAAGCTGTAGTTTTAAAACATCTGGGAATCTACCTTTTGGGTACCCTTGGTTTAGGCTCTGTACAAATAGCTTTAAACTCAACCCTATTGAGCTACATGCTTTGGTAAATATAACAAATAAATTATTGTTTGAGAGGTGCATTATCTAACTTTGACAACCTTGAAATTATCTTCAATACTGGCTAAATTTTCTGAAAACAGAATTGCAATAATTTGCTACGTAGTAGTAAGTTAGGTCTTGTGTGTTCAAACACGCTTCCCCTTTTTGATGCTGTGTCGTACAGCTCTTGACGTGTTCTCCATGTAATCAGTGAAAGCTTGCAGAATCAAGTGACTTGTCACCTTCTGCGTCCACAGATTTTCAGACTTTCCGTCAGTCAGGATGGATTGTTGTGTGTTACTCACAGTAGTGGTCTCTTCCACCTTTAACAAAACAAAACAACAAAAAAAATACATTAAAGTTTGATGCGTGCACGTGAATGTAAAAATTTAAAACATTGTAACAGTTCTTTATGTAATATGATTTCTAAAAAATTTTCATCAAATATAAAAATTATATATATATTAATTTGATTATATCATTTCCGTAACAGTGTTAAATTGTGGAATACTTGTTGAAGTTCTGTCTTCTGTAATATTAAGGATATGAGAAAAAAAAATGACCCACAGGTTGAGAACTGCATTATCATCATTATACACTGACCAGTTTAAAGCCCTTTCTCTGGCTGAGGTAGCATGTGTAAAAGTGGAACTTTGAGCAATGCAATGTCAGGGTTTCATCATTTAGCCACTGAGTCTGATTACCACCTACGGTGACAGCGGATATGGATTTCTAAACACATTCTGTAACAGGTGTAACGTAATGCTCAAAACACCTACTTCCTCTCACACGTTTTAACCAAGACTGACACAATTGTTTCAATGCACTACATAACATATAAGACATCATCCTACATCTTATATTAAAGGGGCACTTTAGGCACCATAACCACTACAGCTTAATGTAGTAGTTCTGAGGCCAACAGCCTGTCAATGCAGTATCAGCAATGTAAGCGCTGCCTTTTCAGGGTTTTTCAGGGATTCGCTCTGCATGGAGATGCTTAGAATGTTTCCCATAGAGATACATTGAATCAGTGCATGGCTATAAGATGTTTATTGGCGCAACATGTCGATTGCCGTGCATGCGCACTTGCCATCCCAATGCTTCACCATGGGGAAAGTCTTTAGCCAAACCATTTGGGAAGGTATTATCAAAAGAAATGGCACTCTCTCTGGCTCAATAGTCTGCTCCCATCTCCAGCTTAATGCACACCACCGCATTACTAATATCAATTCTGTCAAACCTGGACCCTAATCATTAGCTAGGAGTGCTGGGAGTAGGTAATCCAAGCATTCTTATCACTGCCATCCAGATTAGATGGAATTGATATTTAGAAATTAAATGTTTAAATTCCACATTATCAATTAGGCTGTACAGGCGGTGCGCTATAGGTGATTAGGAAGGCCCCGTTTTTTGTCCTGCTGATCTAACATGAGTACAACACATTGGTAAACAGAAAATTAAACGTTCTAATTCAAGGGCGTTAATGAGCGTAATAAATATTCTACTTCACAGATTGACTCACCGTTTTAAGATTGTTGGCCAGAACCATTGTTTTGAATCGAATTAACTCCACATTGCCCTGTTTGCTTGTGAAATGTTTCTCCACATACAGTAAGTATGGCTGGAATTTCTTCAGATCATGATGGATCTTACCCAGACATTTCTCCTAAAACAAGAAAAGGACATTACAGATACTTGCAGGTAGTGAACAATATAAGTATATATACACTATACAACTATTACTGCTGTTACTAAATATGCATATTGCTACATTTGATGTACAGGAATCAAAGATATTTTTATCTCAAATGTGACGGAAATATAACAGTTCCTCTTTATTTCCGTTGCAATTAATAGTTTACTGTTATGATTGTAGTCTTACTTTATTGAATCCTTTCTGGAAACACCCATCTTCAGAGACCATGGTAGGGAGCTTCAATGGATTTTCTATCAGTGTTTCAAGACTGTTCTCGCAGAGGTTGGGGGTCTTGCAAAGCTAAAGAATCACAAATAATGCACACGCTAGTTAGCACATGTGTGTTTTATTGTTTTCCAAGATCATATTGTCCTCAGGGTCTCAAAACATGATAATGCAATACATTGTGTACTTTTCCACTACAAAAACCATTATAATGGAAAGATATGCTCTATAAGTCGAGAAGAACAGACAGAACCCCCAAAAGTCCAAATTCAGCAGTCTCGATTTAGTTTCCTCAGGTAACACAGCATGAACACATCTTTAGATGTGCTTGCACTATCCGCATGCACTAAGACCCTACAGAGATCTCTGCAAAGTCCTGTAGATCGGGGGCTGGCCAGAGAGACCTCTTTAGACCTTCAGTGGGCAGGCCCGCTCCTTTCACTAGTGTCAGTGACGTGTGCTGCATCACTGGTAAGGCCCCCTCTCGGGTCTACCAACCTGTCTTAATTTTATACCTCCATTGTTAAAAGGTATGCAAATATGACATAGGTAACATAGGTAAGAAGCTATATAGATACAATAGATAGATGGATGTGATCACATTTTATGCATTAAGGGACTACATCTGGACTATAGAATAGTTTCAACTGCTTGTTGTTAAAGGCCAGGTCAAATTCATGCAGAGCAGGGGTGCCCAAAAGGTAGATCCCCAGATGTTTTTAAAACCGCAGCTTCCATCATGCTTTGGCATTCTAAATGTGTTCTAAAGGCATGCAAAGCATCATGGGCGTTGTACTTCTACAACATCTGGGGATCTACCTGTTGGGCACCCTGGATGTCGGTTATTGTTTAGACTGGAAGCTTGTTGGTCTGTTGCAATTTCATGTTTTGCTTACACATTTGTTCTTCTTAAATAATACTAATAGTTGAATTTTTCAAGTTCTGAGATAAATGAAAGGAAATTGACTAGGTGTCGCAAAGTTAAAGCAAGTCATCTGTAAATCATATTGCTGCTAAACAGAACTCTTTTAGTGATTTCATGATGATTTGGTAGAGATATGGGAAAATACGCACAATTGAAACTAAAAGTAATGATTCAGTCATAATAATGTGGCAAGACCTGTTTTTGGGAATTCAGCCAATAATAATTGCAAACTGCGTAATCATTTTTTGAAACGATACAAGAACTTGCTTCTAGTGCCGTGTAATCCATCACTCATAAAATGAAAAAGGGAGATATGCTTAGTTGGGCAGTATCCCCTGGGACTGCAAGGACTGACTGAAGCACGTTTCTATGTATTTTTTTTTTGGTAATTTACTGGCAATGTGACTGTGGGAAAAATATTATAAAACAAAATAACTATTACAATATAACCTTTTTATTTGACATGGAGTTTTTGTTATGTCAGGTGAAAGAGTAAAAGTTCCCCTAAACTGCGCAAAAATTCACTAATATCAAGAAAACGCGGTGTGTGTAGGATTCGATTTAGGGAAATGCTAGCTACATTGTAGGCAATGCTGATTAATTAACTCCTTAATGGCCAAAAATCAGACAAGTCCACCTCTATTGTGGCGTGCATGGTGTTGGCCCTTACGGGGTTACTACAGAAGGCTAACAATGCCTTTCCCCAAGGAGCAGACTGATGTTTTGGTAAATACATCGATAACATGATTAATTTAACCCTTTAGTGCACATAAAACAGGGATACTCCTCTGGAATTCCAGCAGTAAGACCAAAACGTTTGCCTCGGGATGATATGACTTGTTCTAGCTGTGACTTTGTAAGAGCATCAAAAAAAGGCTGCATTATCTCATTATCAACCAATAGTTTAACCCAGAAATATGCAAGGAAGGGCGTAGGAAAATGTGACTATAAACTCTACACTCAAAAATGGCTTTCAATGTCACTACACCTTATAAAGAATAATATTGATGAAGCTAAATTCAATGGCGTTATTTCAAGTTCAGTAGCCCTGCACACACTCAGAGTAAATAACCTCCACATCAAGGTAGTAAGAAGTTTGGGAAAGTTCAGAAGTTTAGAATTGGCACTACGTAGCTAAGGAGGGATTTTGTTAATCTATATGGCACTATTAAGAGAATATAGGGAAGAGGTGGGGCACATTTTTCATAATTTGACATTATTATGAAATATAAACAGCACACATTGTATATTCTTAGTATCAAAACCATCACTTTTATTACTGAGCCCCTGCAATATCTTTTTGGTCCCAAAGAACCTACCATTGCCACTATCATTTTCCCCCAGTGAGACACTCACCTCTTTGTTTAGCATGTTAGCTTGCTGTGCAATGAATTTCGCCAGTTCTACAGAAGTGTGCATAGTTGGACGGTTATTGGAGGTGGACGTTCCTACGTCCTCTCCAGAGGATACAATAATGGAAGGGGCTGGTGCTGAACGGACCCATTCCCAGGACAGGATGCAAATTAACACCAAATAAAATACTGATTTACAGCTTGAACCTGCAAGAGGAAAATTATTATTAATAATATTAACATTTGTACAAGTGCATAATTGTTATATTTACATGTACACAAAAAGATAAGCAAAATGCATATATTGAAGCATTCTTACATTTATTTTATTAAAAATGAATACTGATATATTTAGATAAATGTATAAAGACGCTAAAATAATTACTGTGATAAGTATAATTAATATTATTATATTGCAATAATTACTATTAATAATGTAGATACAGCTGCAACTTTTCAAACTTGGGCTTCCACAGAACATTTGTTATCATAGTCTAAATCAAGTTTCCATGGTAACGCAACTTGAAAGTACCTCTTTACTAGATCTCTAGAATTCAGCAAGTTAAAACAGGAACGTCTAGTCTAGTATCTGGTTACAGTGTTTTACTTACTTGTAGAATGCATTTTTTGTTTTTTTCTTTTCTTTAACTGCTTTTGTTATATGGTTCAGTCTTGCTGGAAGATGCTGAAATGAATGATCTCTCTGGTCCCTCATTGCTTATTTATTAAGTACTTTTATTACCTCACTTTTGGGGAAATCCATTATTTTCTCTTTTTTTTTTTTTTTGTTCCTTTTCAAGACGATGCTTGGAAACTACACAAAATTGAGCAACATTTTTTTAGGCTATTTTAAATTTTTTTTTATATATAACTAGTATCCATTCACCATAATGAATATTAAGTGAATAAATCAGGTAAATATTGTAAAAGGATATTAATTGTTTTAACAATTTAAAAGAACACACCACACTCAAAAAAGCACTTCTGTGAGTTTGAGAGTATGCTATTTTTTAATTACAATTTATGTAAGTGCTAATTTATAATTGAAATTGGCCCTTTTAAAAATATTTGCGGAAATGCCAACATTGCTGTCATCCAGACAGCCAGGGAGGTTATCTTCCCGATTTCATGAGTATCACACAGCACACCTGTCTTCTCCCTAAGTCTCAGTGAGGCTGTAAGTGCATGCATGCGTATGCATGCGCATCCTTTAGGGCTCATTTTACCTCCCTGGACTCGGGCTCCTTGGCTCTTCCTGTCCCCGAGCTCTCAACGAGAAGCCTTTGATTGGTCGTTTCCCAAGTACTGGGGAATATCTGTGCTGAGGAAAAGGGGGACTTGTGAAAGGATGCTAACAAGAGATCTGCATCATTTCCATCCAAAGCAAAACTTTTAACATAAATGCATGCGTGATTTTTAAAAAATGATTTTGTTTATGGGCAGTGGAGTGACCTTTTAATTGTTGCGTTATTCTGTAGTATATTCTTTCTTAACTAGCTGTTGTTCTTTCCGGCTTAAGTCAATGAAGGATTTGCAGTCAGAAGTCGTCCAGATAATGGGCCGTTTACTCATTGCCTTGTGGGTTAGTGCTGCACTGGGTTAAAGCAATGTGGACATTGCTGAAAAATCCAATATGGCAATAAGAATAACCTCTCCCATATACAGTTAATAGATACAAAAAATAATACAATATAATACTAAAAAATACACACGAGTGTCATTACCATAAATCCCAAAAGATTGAGTACCATTAACTTATAGAGGTTCAGTTCTTTCAGCTCTACCACATATATAGAAGGTGTGGAACTGAAGAATAAATGATTGCGGAGTCTCTAGGATCCCGTAATAACCAACATAGACTTGCCAGTTAGTGGCCAATAACTTGCACCTGTGTGTTTATCACACTTGTATAGTTGTGTTACAATATGATGAGCTGCAGAGGTGGCATGATTGCTTCAATATTACTTTTGAGTGTTGAGAGATACTAGTGTGGAAATCTATTCACAAACAGAACTATACATAGGACACAAGGTCATGTGTTTAGACTGGAAGAATAGCTTCTTAATCCATGGATAAATCTGACTGCCATTCTGGGGTCAAGTGGGAATTTTATTCCTAGTTTGTTGCAAAATTGGAAGTGCTTCAAACTGGATTGTTTGGGGGTTTTTTTTTGCCTTTTTTGGATCAACAGCAAAAAAAGAAATGTGAGGAAGGCTGAACATGATGGACACGTGTCTCTGATCAGCCTATGTAACTATGTAACACAGATGTCAGTGATCAATGAACTCAATCCAATTGAGGATATTCCTAACAATGAAAATAGTATTTCAAATATAGATTAATACATATCTCCATTGGGTTTTAGGTTTATCCAGTTATGTTTATATATAGACCTTGGACATCAGCTTGGACAATCACTGAATTGGCTCATTGAGAAGAATATTCAGAAATGTCTATTCAACAACTTTTTGGAGACATAATGGCAAAAACAAATCACCAAATTTACTCTTAGGCTGCTAATGTTTTTTTTATAATGCATTACAAATGACATTGTTGAAGTGTATCTTTGCCTATACTTAATTTTCCTTTGTACTTTACATCAGGGAATTACAATAAAAAGTCAAGAGTTGATCCCAGGCTATTGAAGGGAAGGTTGTTATGGACTGTTTATACCTGGATCCCTTCAGGTTAATATTATTTTCTTCTCCTGGACATTGTTATAGTGGTGGGCCACTGTTCTGTTCGTGATCATGGTTTGTGTGCTAGTCAGGCCGGGATTCACCTGTAATTGACGATGACACAGTAAACCCACTCTCGGACCATCCCCATATATTGGGTTGTTGTGCCTTTAATTGAACAGGCCAACTTTTTATTCCAGTCTGGTCCTGGAGCTAGAGTTCTATTTTCCATCCATGTCCTCTGGTAATGAAGTTCCAGTGTGGAATGACTTGTTTGATGGCATGGGATGTATCCTCACACTATTACCTTGAAGACAATATTGTACTCTGGAACTCAATCACCAGATATCTAGCTATGAAACTTTAAAAGTTGGTGGCAAATTTGTCAAACACTACAGCTATGGAAGGGGAATTGCAGTGGTCACCACTAGACCACAGAGAAAAGGTAGAGAAAATATTTCACTGTGCATAAGGGATTAGAAGTTTGTGACACAGGTTGTGCAGCAGTAGAGGGTGATTCTGGGGGTAAAGACGTCTGGGGGTCCAGAGTACAATATTGTCTTCAACTGTGATGGAGCAACAAGGAAAGGAAAGATTATGACACTAGGGTAGGGTTTTGGCAACACTGGACTAAGGAGAGAAAGAGTGAGGCATCAGAAAATAAATACTGGTTTAAATGGCACAGCACTTGATGATATAAATACAACTGATAGAAATTTGTTAAGTCTACACTTTATGTAAAACATGATCACTATAGTCTTCTTGACAACATACCTAGAGTTCACCAGGCACTCATCACCTCCTTCCCTAGAGCCTGAAGATCCTGCATTGGTTTGCCCCAACAATGGACAAAGCAATGTGATGTTGCAGGAGGAGGAAATGTAAGCAGCGCCTAGGTAGCCTAAGCTATGGAAAAAGGCAATTAGAAACCTTTATTTTATTATTTTTAATTTACATACTGGGGGACCTATATAACTTGTGACAAGGACACTAAAGCATTAGGAATACAGGTTTGTATTGCTAGTGCCTTAGTGTTCCTTTAATTCTGAGTAAGGGTAAAAGTAGTACTACCTTTGCCTTCCTCAACCATCTGTGCTGTGGGTGGACATTAAATTTTTTTATAAATATGGGGGCAGAGCTTGACCATCAACCTGAACGAACGCCATTCTTTAAAGCTCCTCAACTCAAATCGAAAATCCGCCAAAAATCTCGCTACAGACAGCCCGTCCAGCCATCCAAAGTAGCCAGCTGGACTCCTCAAGACTCTCTGAGTCGATTAATGCCATTCTTTCTAGCACCCAACCAGCCTAAATGGAGGCAAAAAATCAGGGCCTACTGGATGCTGACACTCCCAAGCCTAGAGACACTGTTCTGTGTCACCGCAGCTGAGAAATTGGGAGGCGAACCTACCTCCACGATGACCGTCCCATCAGCCCACATGCCAGCTATGGGCCACCGCTCACAAAAGATGGAACCCGCGGCAGATGGCAGGGACATGTTCCACTAATCTCACCCACCCACTGGAGCATACAAGACCTGTGGCCCAGCTGGACACTCGAGCAGCTCCATCACCACTGCCTGCAGCCTCCATCGACCTGACATCAACTACCAGGTACAACCTAAAAGTCTTATTATCTGACTTCCACAAAATACTGACAGCAGAATTAGCACCCATAAAAACAGACATGAAAGCAATCACAGAATGTGTGTAGGCTTCAGAACAGGACATAACTGTCATACAAACCCAGCTTTCTACGCTCCAAGACTCAGTGCAACAGGTCTGGTCCCAACATAGGGCCATGTCCGCACAGATGACAGCGATGAAAGAACAGCAACAGCGCACAAACATTAAAATTAGGGGAGTCCCCGCGGAAATCAGGACAGACTAACTGCCACATTATACTAGACGCCTACTAGCAACTATTCTGCCTCATGCCACAGCAAATAAATTGGCGATTGAGGGGATATACCGCCTACCTGGCTCCACAAATCGCTGCCGACAGCAGCCCAAGATGTCATACTCACGGCTAATGATAAAATCCAGATAATGTCGGCACTCAAAAATAAGACACCTCTGGCTTTTGAGGATGCATCCCTTGCGTTCTACCAAGACCTGGCCAAAGCCACCCTCCTCTGGCACAAATCCTTTGGCCCTATCACAAGTAGCCTGAGAACAGCAGGCATCACCTACAGGTGGGGGACGAACAGATCTCTGGTAGCAAACCACAACGGAATCTCACACACACTTGCATCAATAGAAGAAGCACACATGTTCCTGGAGGCGCTGGGACTGCCACCCCCGACTACCAAACCATCTGCTAGGCCCACCACCAAATATTAGGATCCGAACATACTGTTCCTTTTGTCCCGAGGATCAGGAAATCCCAGGTTACGGAGCCACGACAACAAACAGGAACTGAGTTACTATATGGCACCTGAATTCCTGTCATGACACTGCACGGCAATGTGTGTATGGGGGGGAGGGTGGGCAGTGTGTGAATGTGTATGGTGTGTGGGGGCAGTGTGTGTATGGGGGGGCAGTGTAGGTGTGTGGGGGGCAGAGTGTGTATGGGGGGCTGTCTATGTGTGTGTGGGGCAATGTGTGTAGGGGTGGCTGTGTGTGTATATGTGGGTAGTGTATGTGTGTGTGGGGCAGTGTGTGAATGTGTATGGTGTGTGTGGGGGCAGTGTATGTGTGTATTAGGGGGCAGTGTATGTGTGTGGCGGGGCAGTGTGTATATGTGTATAAAGGAGGAGCAGTTTAAAATAAAAATTTATATTTATATATTATGTATTAAAATATATAAAACATAAGTATATAACTATAGTTTTTTTTTTTTTTTTTACTGCTCCCCTTTTTTTCCTTTTCTTGGTTACTTTTTGTCCACTTGGTTTGGGAACTAAAGGGCAGCAAAATATTTTTTATGTATTATGTATCTATTTTGTAGTACACTGGTTTGCCCATTTTCACACCATTTTTGTTTGATTGAATTGTTTTTCCCAAACATTTGTAGGGATCAAAATGATATGAACCAAACCCCTACAAGTAAGAAATTTGGACCACTGAACAGATTTTATTTCATGTAATTTGATTAGTCCACCTCAAATTTTTTGGAGTGGTATAAGTCTACTAATTGTCCTACTTCTCATGGCTGGTTAGAAACATAGAAATGTGGTGGCAGATAAGAACCATTTGGCCCATCTAGTCTGCCCAATAAAGCGTGATTTGATTTGTCACTGAGGCACTCAAATAATTATAACACTTACATGGTATTGGTCCATTACAGACCCATGCAGTATACACATGGTTCTTATCTCTACCTCAATTTAATATTTAATAGATGGAGAAACCATATAAACTGGATTCCTGCTGTAAATTCCCAAACCTACCATTCCTTTATCTGTGTGCAAGTAACAAAACTATCCTTCCATCTGCCTGGTCTTTTGGATGGGTTGGTAATAGTTCTAAGAATTTACTTGGGTTCCGCAGGAACCATTAGAGGCCCCTTATTATGAACATGAAGTGCTGGGTTACCCCCAATC